GGGCAAAAACTGGAAGCATTCCCTTTGAAATCTGCCACTAGACAAAGATGCCCTCTCTCACCACAACTATTCAATATAGTATTGGAAGTTCTAGCCAGAGCAAGAAAAGAATAAAGGGTGTGCAATTAGGAAAGGGGGAAATCAAATTGTCTATTTGCAGACAACATCATTGTATATAGAAGACCTCATCATATCAGCCTAAAAGCTCCTGAAACTGATAAGCAACTTCAGCAAAGTCTCAGGATACAAAATCAATGGGCAAAAATCACAAGCATTCCTGTACACCAATAACAGGCTCACAGGGAGCCAAAACAAGAATGAACTGTCATTCACAATTGCTACAAAGAAAATAAAATACCTAGGAACACAACTAACAAAGAATGTAAAGAACCTCTTCAGGGAGAACTACAAACCACTGCTCAACAAAATAAGAGAGGACACAAACAGATGGAGAAACATTCCATGCTTATGGTTAGAAAGAATCAGTATCTTGAAAATGGCCATACTGCCCAAAGTAATCTATAGATTCAACACTATACCCATCAAGCTACCAATGGCCTTCTCCACAGAACTGGAAGAAAACACCTTAAACTTCGTATGGAACAAAAAGAGAGCCCGCATAGCCAAGTCAATTCTAAGCAAAAAGAACAAAGCGGGAGGCATCACACTACCGGACTTCAAACTATACTACAAGGATACAGTAATTAAAACACCATGGTACTAGTTCCAAAACAGAGGTATAGACCAATGAACACAACAGAGGCCTCAGAGGCAACACCACACCTATACAACCATCCAATTCTTGACAAACCTGACAAAAACAAGCAATGGGGAAATGATTCCCTGTTTAATAGATGGTGTGGGGAAAACTGGCTAGCCATGTGCAGGAAGCAGAAAATAGGCCCCTTCATGACATCTTATACTAAAATTAACTCCACATGGATTAAAGACTTAAACATAAGACCTAACACCATAAAAACCCTAGAAAAAAATCTAGGCAAAACCATTCAGGACATAGGCATAGGAAAGGACTTCATGACTAAAACACAAAAAGCAGTGGCACCAAAAGCCAAAGTAGACAAATGGGACCTAATCAAACTGCACAGCTTCTGCACAGCGCAAGAAACAATCATTAAAGCAAATCAGCAACCAACAGAATGGGAAAAAAATTTTGCAATCTACCCATCTGACAAAGGGCTGATATCCAGAATCCACAAAGAACTAAAACAGATTTACAAGAAGAAAACAAGCAAACCCATTCAAAAGAGGGTGAAGGATAGGAACAGACACTTTACAAAGAAGACATATATGAGGCCAATAAACATGAAAAAATCCTAATCATCACTGGTCACTAGAGAAATGCAAATCAAAACGACATTGAGATACCATCTTACACCAGTTAGAATGGTGATCATTAAAAAATCTAGAGACAACAGATGCCGGAGAGGATGTGGGGAAATAGGAACACTTTTACACTGTTGGTGGGAGTGCAAATTAGTTCAACCATTGTGGAAGACAGTGTGGCGATTCCTCAAGGACCTAGATATAGAAATTTCATTTGACACAACAATCCCATTATTGGGTATATATCCAAAGGATTATAAATCGTTCTCTTATAAGAACACATGCACACGAATGTTCACTGCAGCACTGTTTACAATAGCAAAGACCTGGAACCAACACAAATGCCCATCAATGATAGACTGGACAGGAAAAATGTGGCACATATACACCATGGAATACTATGCAGCCATAAGAAGTGATGAGTTGTTGTCCTTTCTAGGCACATGGATGAACCTGGAAACCATCATTCTCAGCAAACTGACACAAGGACAGAAAATTAAACACCGCATGTTGTCACTCATAGGCGGATGTTGAACAATGACAACACATCGCATAGGGAGTGGAGCATCACTCTCTGGGGTCTGTGGGGGGTAAATAGGGGAGGGACAGCGGGGGGTGTGGAGTTGGAGAGGGATAACATGGGGAGAAATGTCAGATATAGGTGATGGGGAGGAAGGCAACAAACTACATTGCCATATATGTAGCTATGCCACAATCTTGCATGTTCTTCACATATACCCCAAAACCTAAAATGCAATAAAATATATATATATAAATGTATATATGTAAATATCTATATAAATATATCTATATAAATATATCATCTATATAAATAAATAAATAAATATAATGTATTTGGAAAGTTCTCTTTCCACCTCTTTCTCCCAGAGAAAAATATAAAAAAAGAAAGAAAGAAAGAACAAGTGGGGTTATTAATCATTTGGGAAGGAATCATGGTCTTGTTCACAAACTTCTGATCCATTTTTTCACAGGCTAGGAATCAATACAGTTAGTAAAATAGTAACAGTAACAACAACAGCCTAAAAGGAGGAGTCTTAAAATGCAGGAGGTGCTGGTCTAGGCGTGTTCATGGGTTACATTATTTAGCCTTGAGCATCATCTTGGGAGTATATCCTCATATGTTTCCTAATTGACAGGCAGAAAAACAGAGGCACAGAGACCTAAGTGGTCTATCTGGGCTCAAAGTGGTACTAAGTGGTGGTGCAGGTGTCACCTGACACTATCTTGTTCACTATGCCTAATAATAATTATTATATTTTTGAGATGGAGTTTCCTTCTTGTTATCCATCCTGGAGCACAATCTTGGCTCACTGCAACCTCCGCTTCCCAGGTTCAAGCGATTCTCCTGCCTCAGCCTCCCCAGAAGCTGAGATTACAGGCATGCACCACCATGCTTGGCTAATTTTGTATTTTTAGTAGAGACAGGGTTTCTGCATCTTGGTCAGGCTGGTCTTAAACCCCTGACCTCAGGTGATCCACCTACCTCAGCCTTCCACAGTGCCGGGATTACAGGTGTTAGCCACCACACGAGTTTTCTGTTTTGTTTTGTTTTGTTTTAGATGGAGTCTTGCTCTGTCTCCCAGGCTCGGATGATCTCAGCTCACCACAACCTCCACCTCCTGGGTTCAAGCAATTCTACTGCCTCAGCTTCCAAAGTAGCTGGGATTGTAGGCACGTGCTAGCATGCTGGGCTAATTTTTGTAGTTTTAGTGGAGTCAGGGTTTCACCATGATGGCTAGGCTGGTCTTGAACTCCTGGCTTCAGGTGATCCACCCGCGTCGGACTCTCAAAGTGCTGGGATTACACGTATGAGCCACCTCACCTGGACACTATGCCTATCTCATTGTATTTCTAAAAGGAGAGGAAAAAGAAATAATTGTATTGCCATCCTTGTAGTAACTCTCTGAAGGAGATAGTATCATCCACCTTTTACAAATGCGAAAACAAAACTCCAGTCTTTTGTTTTATTTTTCTGAGACAGTGTCTCACTTTGAATCACAAGCTTGAGTGCAGTGGCATGATCTTGACTCACTGCAGTCTTGACTTCCAGGACTCAAGTGATCCTCCCACTTTAGCCTCCCGAGGAGCTGAGACTACAGGCAGACACCGCCACACCTGGAAAATTTTTTGATTTTTTTTTGTAGAGATGGGGTCTTGC